TGTAATCTAGCCATGCAAGTAGTTTAAGTTTTGTCTGTCCAGGTTTTTAGATTATCCGTCTTTGAGATCTCTCCCACCACTCTTTTACAGAGGAGGAGAAGGGACTGGTGCATATTTCAACAGCAACTTGTCTTTCCCGACAGCATCTGTTCCTTTCAATAATACACTGACCTCAGTGTCAATGTCAACAGTTCTTCATTGAAACTACTTTTTGAGCCATGGTCTGTCCACTGCTGTGGTCAAGACTGGATGGATGGATTGGAGTCATGGTTCCCAGAGGATGAATATTTCTGACTTTAAAAACTGTGATCAGTGGATTATCCAGAACGTAGAAGAATATTGCTTCTATGCCGATGTATTGCAGCTAAGTTTGTTTTGTATTCAGTCCTGCTGCAATGTTGTTGTTTTTTTTTAATCACTTGGAATTTTTATGGTAAAAACTTTACGATTCACTTTTAATAGTCCCTGTTAAGCTCTTCACACTAATTAAAACACTGCCAGACTGTGTGAAGCAGGAAATAAAGTTGATAAAATTTAAATTAAAAAAACAACAGGAGAGCAATTAATAACAGTTGATGAGATTTCTAAGAGGTAATAGCAAGCCCACAACAGAGTTAATGCTTATTTACCTACAAATTCACAAATTGTACCTTTAAGCTTAAATAAATAATTACCAGTGTTTTTCTAAATGTGTTTGTTCATTGTCTTTATGTTTGTCCCTATGTGAATCCGTCACTGTTTCAGCTACATCCAGAACTCTCAGCCCTACCTGAACAACATGACGGCGGTGGGCTGCATGATGGCTCTGGCTGCAGTGTTCCCGCTGGGGATTGATGGTCACCACGTCCACAGATCACAGTTCCCCGTCGTCTGCCAGGTAACGGAGAAAGAGACAGACACAGGGAGAGAGACAGAAGAGAAAAAGCAGAAAAGAGCCAAAGGGCAGGATGAAGAGTAGGTCTGGGTATTGTCTGCAAATATTTGGTTTCACTGATTTGATATTATTGCCAGAACAGTATTTTTTTTACAATATGTGTTGAAAAGAAGGTTTTTTCATGAGAAATAAAAATCTGATTTTTGATCATTTCATGCATTTGTTCCTGCAAGATGTACAGAAAGTATAAAGTAGTAAATACATTTCAAATTGGCTTGAAGAAAAAAAAAGTATTGTTAATAGTATTTTATTGTTGAAAGGGAGTTTTGATTGATTGACACCAGCTGACAGGCAGGAGAAATAAAGACAAAGTAAAAAAAACTTAATGTGTAGCTAACAAGGCATGGGCGGACAGTGTGTTGTTGCACACAGTGAGGATGACGCAAGCATCTGAACAACCGAGCTGACATTTGCCTACGGATGCACCGGATGCACTGTTGATTATTTCAGATATCAGGGAAACAAGTTAAGTTATCTTTATTGATCCCCGTAAGGAAATTCATTCTCTGCATACGTACTAGGAGCAGTGGGTAGCCACCGTGCGGCGCCCAGGGACCAACTCTAAATCTGAGTCAGTACCTTGGTCAAGGGCACTGACTGGAGAATCAACCTAACGTACATGTTTTGATGGTGGGGGAAACCGGAGAACCCAGAGGAAATCCATGTAAACACGGGGAGAATGACAGTGAGTGACTGTTCAGCTCTGTGTCTCACAACTTGGATGAGAAGAGAAATAGACTGAGCTGCAAAAAAACTGAGATACTTATCTTTTCAGATTTCTTTGTTTCCTGGCACAAAAGCAAATAAATGACAACAAAAAACATCTGCACCAGCTATCGGCCAAGTTGTTATTTTAAACATCGTATCAGCCCAGAATTTCCCCGGTGATTGTTTGTGTGGTTGTTGTTCGACAAGCTAAGGTGCAGGACAAGATGTGTGCTCATTTGTGTAGGTTAGCCAGATAGGGAGATTTTAGTGCATCAAAGCTAATGTGGGTTGTTGTTTAAAGTCTTGTGTTGTGTAGCAGGCTGCTGTCTAGTTCAGACCGTCTGCTCTGCCTATGGTAGAACGCTGACTGCTTTATGCAAATATGGTTTAAAATGAAGTGATTTGATACAAAATGGTCCTCCATCTACTGAACATAGACGGAGAACTTGGGGTTGCAATCATGAAAACAAAATTAGTAGCAGAAATAAAACATGCTATTTAATTTAATCTTTTTTCCCCAAAATTCAGACTTAAACTGAACTGAACTGTAAATTAAACAATGTTTGGCAGCACAGCATGAATTTGTAATGGCTGGTCTATCTGCAGGTCAAAGAGGGTTACGATGTAGTATCCAAAAGTTTATTTATGTCGACAGTCCATGGAAGTTTGCTTTGATTAACACGGATCCATTGTATTTT